GGGCTGAAAACGGGGAAAGCTCTTCTGAAAGGCAATATTTCGACCTGGGATCCACCTTTCGGCTTTCTGCTTCATTACTCGCTCCATTCCTTCGCAGCAAAAGGCTGCAGATGACATCGGAGTTGTATTTCCCCCCCCCGCCCTCCTCCTCCTCCTCTCCCGCACAAGTGCGGCAAAACCAGCAGCTAAGCTGGAAGAGAGCTCTCTCTTCCAAGCCTCCCCAGTTTCCCCACTGTTCCCAGACTAGGTACACCTACGGGAGGGCAAGGAGAGCTGGAAAACGGCCGTTGTCTCGGGGAGAGAGGCGTTGCAGAACCGATTTCCCCGCCTGGGCAGAGCAGCCCGGCCAGGCAGGCGGAGCAGGATCTCCTCGGCGATGGAAAATGGTTAAGGATCACTCGCTGCCCCGGCTGCCTCTTGGAAATTTTTTTTTTATTTTTTTTTTATTTTTTTTCTTCCCTCCGAGATGGTCAAAATTAGCTGTAAATCGGGTAAAGCAGTCAATGAAAGAGCTATCCCCAAACCCGCGGTTCAAGTTTCTGGTGCTTCGCGGACGACCTGGAGTAAGCACCGTCGACTCTACAGGGGCAATTAACTGTATCAGGCTGACCTTTAAGAAAATGAGGGAGATATTAAACTCCTAATTCCCGTCATTACAAATAATTTTCATGAAGGGAACTTCTAAAAGATTTTTTTTTCTCCCTTACACTTTCCAGTCTATTTTTTAACCCCTGAGTGATTTACTACGTAAGTAATTTTAGAGGATACAGTTTACAGCTTGAGTTATTAGACTGAACACCTCTGGCTGACACCACAACACCTTTTTTTTCTGCCTGCAGCTGTGAGTCACAACCCCATTTTCATACCAAACTGCTGCGCATTCCTTTACAATATAGACTTCCTTCTTGCAAAGATCAAACATGCTCCAGCCGACGTGTTTATTTTAAAATACAGGAAAATTAAAACTAAACACGGACTTAAAAGAAAAACAAATGCATCATTTCTTTCCCTGCTGTCCCTCCTACTAAAATAAAATAAAATAAAATTAGGACGGAACGGCGTAGACCGCTCCTATAAAATAATACAGTGACGGAGCCAAAACAGTCGATTTCGACTGGAACAGGAACGGATCCTTCTGTTTGCTGTTATTTATTTATGTATTATTGTGGCTATGGTTTTAATTATATGTGGGAATGTCAGGCCAAGACGCTGTAACCGTAGCCTCCCTTTAACACACTTTTCCTATTTGTTTAATGCCAGCACTACAAGGCTAGAACAGGCACCAGAAGGAAAATGGTTTCAATATTCTGTTTAAGAGCTTTACAACAGGGAATCCCGGAATTGCAGGAAAACCTGCAGGCCTGCTCCGTGGAGGTGCCCGGCAGGACCAGGCAGATTTCGTGCCCCTCCGCAGGTTTCGGGGTGCGGGGTGGGAGCGGGGG